TTTGGAGAAGATTGGGAGCGTTACTTGCCGTTGATGGAGTTTGCATATAATAACAGTTACCAGGCGAGTATTCAGATGGCTCCGTATGAGGCACTCTACGGCAGAAAGTGCCGAACCCCGATTTGTTGGACAGAGCTTAGCGAGCGTAAGCTCGAGGGACCAGATATTGTGCAGGAAACCGAGGAGAAGGTTCGTGTGATCAGAGACCGACTCCGCACTGCTTCGGACAGACAGAAATCTTATGCAGACTTGAAGAGACGAGACATAGAGTACAATGTTGGTGACATGGTATTTTTGAAGGTTTCACCTTGGTAGAAGGTCCTACGGTTCGGGAAGAAAGGGAAGCTTAGCCCTAGATTCATCGGACCCTACCGCATTCTGGAGCGAATAGGACCTGTTGCTTACAGGTTGGAGTTGCCACCAGAGTTGAACAGGATTCACGACGTCTTTCATGTCTCCATGCTACGTAGATACCGTTCAGATCCGACTCATGTGTTGCCGACCAATGCTGTAACCCTCGACGAGAGTTTGTCTTACGAAGAAGAGCCCGTTAAGATCTTGGCGCGCGTAATCATGCGGTGGAAGAAGCAACCTGGGAGACCGAAGAATCTATGCGAACTCAGTACCCTCATCTCTTTGACGACCAATGACTCAGGTAATTTCGTGGACGAAATTCTTTTTAAGGGGGGGAGAAATGTAACGCCCCGAAATCTGGCCCAAAAGAATTAATTAAATTGTTTGAGCAATTGATTACGAATTGGGCCTAAAAAGGGGTTAAAATTATAATTTGGATTCTAAGCCCAACTTTTATGTCATCTCGTAGGAAATATTTTTGTGATCGCGTCGGTTCAGACGGCTCGCGAATCGGAGTTATGGAGCTCATGTTATGACCATTTAATCAGGTATTTTGGGTCCGGAGCCCAATCCTTTTTGGAATAGGACCATTAAATAAACCTAAACCTAAACCACACAAACCTTATCTTCTTCGTTCGTCCTTCTCCTTCTTCGTTCGTTCTTCTTCTTCGTCTTCTTCTTCTTCTTCTTCTTCTTCTTCTTCTTCTTCCTTCTTCGTCTTCAACAGCGCCGTTCGACCTCCGCCTCCTCGCCGCACCACTGCTGCCTTTCCTTCGCCGGAAGTCCGTCGCCCACTATCAGGGTCAGCGCCGCCGACGACGGTCTCCAATCGCCGCTGTCCTTCGCCAGTAGCCGCCGCTCCTCGTCGCCGTCCAATTGGAGCAGCCAGCCGCCGGCGTCGCCGCTCATCGCCGGTCGCCCTTCCCCAGCCAATCGCCGTCGCCGAGCCTCCAGCCGCTGTTTCACCTTCGCCGGAAATCTGCCATCATCGCCGACGAATTGCAGCGCCGCCACGCCGAGCGCTGGACGTCGCCTCCACTGCCGGCGTCCTTCCTCGCCGTCGATTGCAGCACCGCCAGTCGCTGCTCATCGACGTCGAGCTGCCGCTCCGCCACTGTCGCCGGCGTCCGTCACCGTCGCCGCATCCGGCCGCTGCCCCGAGTTGATATCGCCGGCAGATTAACCTCCACGCCGGATTGATCGGTCGATTTCGCATTTTGACTCAATTTGACCCGTTCGTTTGATTTCGTCGATTTGTCTTCCGTTCGAGCTATCGATTCGATTTCGGCGAAATCCAGGTCCGTACTATGAAGTTAATAGCATTTAGAATAGATTTAATGGTTTGGATCGTTATATGTGTTTATGCTATAATTTGGCTAAATTGGTTAATTGAATTAAATTGATTATGTGAATTGAATTGTTGAGGTTTGTGAATTGA